ATAGGTCTGAACTGAATGACAAAATAAGAAGTTTTCCAACCAAAGAATTCCTTTGCCTTTTACTTAATTCTGCAAGACCACTGTTAATACTGGCATAAACTTTATATTCCCTTTTTTCTTTCAAAACTTAATTCCTTTTCTTCTCCATTCTAAGGCGCCCCTTCCCTCCCTTAATATTCACCCCCTGGGCATTATTCTTTTATTCTCTATAGCCACAGAGGACAAATTCTCTTTGACATATGTGGTCAAATTCTTAAACTTTTCTCCAGCTATTTACACATCCCAAGAGTTACTTATTTCAACATACAACTTGCTTTACAAGTCTTATTTTGCACAGTACACTTCATACTACCTATGCACACTCAGGGTTACATTTAGTCTTAATGTTAGAAAAAACTCAGTATTATTCCTCCTAGATAAAAAGGGTATGAATGGGATGGTTGTGAGTTTTCTTTCATTTTTGCCAATACCTATCTGGGAAGCTACTTTTGTGCAAAAAAGAACTTTGGTTGTTGGCTAATTATACAGTTAACACATTTCTTTGCTGATGGAAAATAATGTACTGTCAAGTCTAGCAGCTATAAATTAGTTATTAGATGAAAAAATACAAATTACAAATTATATTCAGCTCATTATTTAAACCACTTATAAAACTCTATGGCTTTACATAACCTAAAAGTATTCTACAAATGCTAAACCGCATATAAAGAAATTTAAAATCAACTAATATTTGATTGTTTTAGAAATAATTTTCTACTTGTACAATGAATTTCTCAGTATTTGGGCAGCTAAGGAAGGTTTTGTTTTGTTTTAATTTTGTGGTACTAGGGACTAGAGCCGGGACTTTTGCACTAAGCCCTTTCATATTTTTTTTGAGATAGGGTCTTGCTAAATCTGTTGCCCAGGCTGCCTCACTCTCCCAGAAGGCTGGGATTATAAGCAAGTGTCAACACACCCAGCTCAAGAAGGGATTCTTAACCTGGGGTCCATAGGTAAAAAATTTTCTTCAGTCATCTATGAGCACAGTGGCCTGTGTAAATATATTTCTGCCAATGTATGGCTTCAAACAGACACTGATTCTGTCAAGAGCCCAAAGGATCTGTGACCTCCAAAATGTTACATAGTATTTCTTTGCATGATCCTAAAATTCATGAAGAATTTAGCTAGACTCTATATTCAAATATAGCCAATACTTTTTTAAAAAGCAAACAACTACAAGAAAAGCAGTAATAATGTCTTCTGTTAAAAAAATTTCTTTAGAAACACTCTCACGGATAATTTTTTTAGATTTTTTTGACCAAGGGGAAGACAATAGAATTCCAAGATGCTGTCTTTATGTTAATGTTCATTTTAAATAAATTATTCAATACATAAAATGTAGTAATTGGAACACAATTTCCCTCAAAATCTACCAAGAACTGTTTTTCATCTCAGGGTACAAGCAGATTAGCAAACTACCAGAAATCTCTCCTCTTAAATAACGAGAGCCCATAACCAATATATGGAACATTACTGATATAACCTCATGCAACACGATGCATGGATTATATCATAGCACTAACAAAGGAGTCTTGCATCACATTGAAAAAATGAAATCCTATCATTATGTATCACAAAAAACATGACCACTAAACTAAGAAAATTATAGTCTTCAGATGTTTTACTTTTAAAAACAGAACTTTGAAGTTCAAAAATTCTTTCTTTTTTTGAAGGAAGTCATGCTTAACAAAAATCTATGAATTTGGAAGCTAAGGATTGTATGTTTTCACGATGGAGGCCATAAACTTACCCAGATCAGGCTTTAATGCTACCAATGACAGACAACTACAAAATGCCAGATAACAAGGAATAAACAAAAACATTTACCTCTCTCATCTGATCAGTGTAACACAGAAAACTAAATCTGAGGTAGAAATATTTATATCACTCTGCAATTTTTAAAAAATTGAAAGCTCTCAAGTATTCTGAATTTAGAATAGCACAATGGAAACTCAAAGCACTTTTTCCTACTTAATAGCCTGTCTTAAAAAACTGTAGTTTTGAAATAATCAAATTCAGATATAGACATTTTACAAAAAAAAAAAAAAAAAAAAAAAAAAAAAAGGCAAGTGAGTGGGCTAAAAATGATAGAGCAAATCTAAACAGAAACCTGTACAGAAGGCCAGGGATTTAGCTCAGTGGTTCCACTGACTGCTTCGCAAGTGCAAGGTCTTGAGTTCGATCTCCAGTACCAGAAGAAAAAAAGAAAAAAAAAGAAAAGAAAGAAATTTGTACAGGGAAATCAAGAATTGGATTTCAACGCAAAATTCGTCAAGCTAGCTGGGTGTGGTGGCACATGCCTATACTGCCAGCACTCAGGAGGCTGAGGCAAGAGGATCATCACAAGATTGAAGCCAGCCTGGGCTACATAATGAGTTCAAGGCCAGCCTGAATTACACTGAAAAACTGTCTGAAGAAAACTAATAAATAGATACATAGATATTTTTAAAAATCAGTCAAGATTCCGCTTAGCAATAGAGTGTAAGGGAATAAACAAATCTAAAGAATAATTCTGGCAAAATAAATTAATCTAAATATCCTAATCAAATGGCCCCATGCTTATGCTTAATATAAATCATTTTACCTTTCCCTATAAGTCATATATTTAAAAAGCAAAGCTTCAAAGACATGTCCCACCTTTTAATATTTTTGTTCCTAATCCCTCAACATTTGTAAACACTAGATTTCAAAGCCCAAGCTCTCATAATTTTTCTCCTTCATTTTTAAGTTACCATATTTACTTCCAAACACCTTGTCTGCATCTTCAATATTTACATGGTTTACCTCTCCTTCTAATATCTACATTTTCAATTTTTTAACATTGTTCACTTAACAGTACTTCTTTACTAAAATGCTCAAGACCAACTTTGTTATATTACCTTTTTATAACCTTTGAGGCAAAAAAGGATGTACCTTGAAACAAAAATAATTGGAATCCAATTTAGCCTCAGTAAACAATCTTTCTATAGGAATATTTAAAATGGCTAAGACCTGTTCTAACATACATACTAGATTTCTATTCTTATTGTGTACCTCAAATATAAAATACTCAACCTATTTCCAAATAAACCCAGAAACATAAAACACTTTAAAAAATACTGTAAGAATGCAAGCTCCTAAATTGGGGGGTTATACCACTAATATATTTTACGAAATGAGTCCACAGAAACCTCTGAAAAATGTGATTGATAAAGTGATATCTCCTTTCTTCAGTTTTGTGATTAACAGGACTTTTATTGGTAGTAAACTAGAGCAAACAATCAGAATAATACATATGCAGTATTCAGTACACACAATAAAAGTTAAAGAAATTCAAAACCTGTATAAAACAAAAAACTGGGAGAAAAATCATACAGCTTAAGAGATACAGTGGTAAAGATCCTTTCCATCCTTTAATTACAGCTTGTACTCTATACCCAATAGAACTTACCGCACTTACTGAAATAATACAGACATTTTAGTATTGAGTGTATTTAAGAGGATTAAACACATCTTCTAAGAATCTTTCAATGACAAGTTGGTGACCCTGTAGCTGCTAAAGCTAAAGGGAGGAAAGTGGGGAAAGGAAATTAACTAGTATTTTGTAACCATTTTTAATAATTTCTTATCCAAACACTGCCTTTATAACAGAAGTGTTTTACACTTGCACAATATTAATTACTTTATTATACATGGAAGCCTGTGGTAGGCTAATTACACAATAAGACTGCAAACAACCAGTGGTACTTTTCTGACGTCAGAAGAGTACATAAGACTGAAACATCACCAAAAGTACAAAAGAACTCATCAGCATAAACATCAAAGTACATTAAAAAATATAATCAGAAAAAAATACAATTGCTAAAAAGTGGTTTAGAGCAGAGCCACTGCCTATCAGTAGCTTCAAATGGCAATTAGCGTTCATAGCAAGTTTTGATGACTTTACAAGACCCCTGTACAATACTGAGTAATCACCCCATTAAAATGTACATTAAAGGCTGCAATTTCCAAAGAGGTTCTGATGTCATTACTAACTACATACTCTTATCCTTTACACGAGCTACATCACCAGGTGGAATTATACCCCTCTTAGTATCTACAGCTCTGAGTTCATGGACTTTTACTATACATGAATATCTATATGGGGTTGATCTTTAAAAAAAAGAGATTGGAGATGTTTATCATATTGTTTAGTATTTGGATGCCATAAGGCACATAAAATGCATAATCAATTGTCTATTGGAATGTAAATCATTCTAAAATTGAAATCAAGAAAGGGAGAAGGGAGAACAAGAGAGGCCTAGAACTCTAAGAATCAAAAACCAGAAGTGATGGTGATATATAATAGCATAGATAAGAGAACAATTTTTGGGCCATATATAATAAATAACGCATACTCCAAATTTCAATGAATTAGTGACTCCCAATACATGTGGTTCCCCAACCACATGGGCTTGAACACTGTATTAAATAGTAATAGAATCACTTAATGGAATTACAGCCTTGTTAGAGAGGGTGCTTCTTTTCCCTTCTTTTATTAAAGCTATCATTCCAGGCTTTGATCTAAGATCCAAGAATATTTGTTCTACCAGCTGGAATGAATGTGATTTGGAAGTTCAGAGTACATTTAAAAGCTGCAACAAAATATAGGTAGCCAACAATCTCAGAATTTTGGATCAGCCCAGATATGAGATAGCAATTTGAAATGTTTTCAATCCTTTACTTAATGATGACATACGTATACCAGCCCAGAAAGAGCAATCTGAAATGTTTTCGATCCCTTAAATGATGACATGTATATCATACTATTTGTAAAACTGGATATTCCATTACGGTGATAACGTACAGAATTCCCATGCGTTATTACACTTTCCTGAGAGTAAAGCAATTAGAATAACCTTAATCCTAGCAACAAAGTTTTTTTTTTTTTTTTTTTTTTGGTTTTTTTTTTGTTTTTTTTTTTTATTTTTTTTTTTTTTTTTTTTTTTTTGCATTTAAAACTTTTGGGCTATTCCCTGACGATCTATACATGTAAATTTGATTGCTAAACATCGTCACTTTGAATGTCAAACTATTTATAAGCTATTGATTTTGATTAAAAATCATAATACAAACAGAGCTAAAATCACGCTAACAAAATAAACTAAATATGAAAAGTTGCATTGAAAGGGCATTACATTATTCTTAATAGGATCGTGTAGAAACATTCCAATGGCAGTGTTCTCAAAATAAAACAAAATTACATTAGAAGACCCCCAGCCTGGTCACTTTTGGGACCTTACCTGTAACTCTGACTGGTAGGTGTTTTTACTCTTGTACTACATGGCTCACTTACATCAGACATCATATTTGTATACCCTGAGAAATCTGACACTGAAGTCCTTACTCTATGGTCCACTTCTCCATTAGAGTTATTGATGAAGGTCATTGGCACCCTGCTGCCCGACTTAAACTGAGAACCAAATGCTTGTGCAAAGTTCTCAATCTGGTACGTTGTTCTAGGCTCTATGTCTTTCTGAGGATCTATCTGGCTAGCTAACTCCTGAGATGGAATCTGAAAGCTTGTTGAGGACTCTAAGTTCTTCTGTTGTTCCTTCTGGCTAGTCAATTTCTGAGATGAAGACTGGAAGGCTGATGAAGTCTCTAAATTCTTCTGAGAATCTATCAGATCATCCAGCTCCTGGGAAGGTGTCAACTGCTGATGTGTAGCATCCAAAGCAGATAAATAAAGACCTGGCTGAGATCCAAACAACATCCCAAAAGGAGGCTTTGGCAATGAAGATGGCAACACTGAGGTAACAGATTGGCCGAAACCACACTCCAAAGGAGATGTAGTGTATATTTGTTTTTCTGGAAATAAAGTGTGGTTGTGGAGAGGTGAAGACAAACTGACAAATTGGAAACCAGGTCCAAGAGCAAAACCTGCATTAGTGGATTTTTCAAAAGCCTGTTGGAGGTATTTGGAGTATTCTTGCAACACACTTGCTTTATCATTTGAAGGTGTTTGGGTGCCAGGACTCAAATTTTCTTCTTGGACCAATTCTGAGTGTTCTCCTGAGGTGTGTAAATCCACTCGTGGTTCTGTTATATTGAAAGGATCCTCTTTCTGGCCTTCTGATTTGTTGGAATATTGATCCAAAATACTCTGTAAAACCTCATCAGGAATTCCAGACTTGTCATGACAAGACTTAATCTCAGCATTGAGAGCTGAGGAGTCAATAAGTGACAATGGTGCCTCATTGTCCAAAACACTGACACCTGCAGACTGAATGACAGACTGTTGGGAGACCATGTGTCCCACATTTATAGAAAAGGCACTGTTGCTGCTGGCAGTTGGTAAATATCTTCTTTTCTTTGAAAACTGCATGGCATCATCATAATTACTGCTTATTTGACCTTGTTTGCCACTTGTATTTTGAAGAAGACTAATGGTCTCCACACTATTATTTGAGACTATACCAAGTGAGCCACTTGGCTTCCCAGACAAGGATTTTTGTCCAACTATGTCTGGTAATGGTGACACAAAATTAAGGTAGTTTTTATCAGTATTCTTTCTGCTTCCTTTCTTGAAGATCAATTTTGGCACCCTTTTCTGCAATTCATCTATACCAGTGCCAATTATGCCTCCACTGGAAGACACAGTGGGCATTTCTACTGAGTAACTCTGCATGTTTATATTATTTGAAATTTGCGATTCATTTGCTTTACCAGTCTTCTGTTCCTTATTTTCAATAGCTATACTTTTTGACTTGGATTTTCTTCTTGAAGAACTTGTATTTCCCTGAGACAATGCAGCCAGATTTCCCATATTGTTATGGTTTGATGACCCAGGTTCTGCACTAGCGGCTCCTTTCGCTATGGCTTCACCACATGTGCGCCTGTGCTTCAACAATCTATCAGTCCTTGAAAAATACTGTTGGCAAGTGTCACACTTATATGGCTTTTCTCCACTATGTGTCCTCTTGTGTCTCTCCATATGGTACTTCTGAATAAACTTCATGCTGCACTGGTCACATCCAAAAGGCTTCTCTCTGCTATGAATTTTCTCATGTCTCTGCAGTAGGTATTTCTGAATGAAACCCATACTACACTGGCTGCATTGGAAAGGTCTTTCTCCTGTATGAATGAGGACATGTCTCCGTAGGTGATAGGAGCTTCGGAAAGCAGCACTACAGTGATCACAGATATGAGGTTTCTGACTTGGGGAGAGGATGGCACCTTCTCCATCTCCAACCAAAGGTTTGGAAGATGCACTTGGCTTCCTCTTGGCTTTGATTCCCTGAGATTCTGGCTTTGGCCTCTTTGCCTTTTTGACATTAGTGTCCTGCTTTGGCTCCTCATTGCCATGGTCATCAGTCCTGCTACTGCTGCTCAGTAATACATCACGGTGGTGCTGGGCTGGTTGCTGCTGGACATGCTGGTGGAGAATACTGAGGTCCTGGATGACACCGTGGCTCCCCCCTTCCCCGCCTCCTAGGCCTGGAGATCTTTCTTCAGCCCCAGTGAACAGCCCCCCATAATGGTGGTGGTGATGGTGGTGGTGGGACTGCTGCTCCTCAGGATCTGTGGGTTTCTCCTGCTTGATGCTAACCAAAGACTGCAAGAATCCCCAGGAGGTCCTCTGGGAAGGGAAGGCCGCGGCTGACGCCGCTGGCTCCTTCTTGAAAGTCATGTCCGGGGCTGGCGGAGGGGGGGGCTCAGCGGCCGGGGCTGCGGAGGTAGAGGAGGATAACACGCACTGCGGGGGAGGGGCGGCCGACCCCGCCGGCCGGGTGAAGCTGGTGACCGGGGGAAGCCGGTGGTTGAACATAACCATACCCTGGGGGAAGGTGGGCTCCATCTCGGTTCTCCTGCCGCCGCCGCTGCCGGGGCCGCTACTGCCGCTACTGCCGGGGCCGCTACTGCCGCTACTGCCGGTACCGCCGCCGCCACTGAGGAACCCGCTGCCGATTTTCATAC